GGGCTGACATTAGCAGAGCAGATCCCTTCCAGGGGAAGGGTGGTAGCAGGGTGCCATAGGGGGACATGGCAGCAGCTGTGAAGTGACTGAATCTGCAAGCTGCTGCAATGCAACTTCTGGCTGCAAAACCCTTGGAGAACTTCTTTGGTGGAAAGGAGGAGGGAGTTCATTTGAAACAGAACCCCTCCTCCCAACACTGGCCCTGCCCACTTTCTTCCTCCTGCTTGCAGGGCTTGTCTACCCTAGTGTGTGTGATGGGGTGCTTTTGACTTCATTATGTTCATTGAGGTGGCCAGTTTCTGGGTGACTTGCTCTCCTGTAGGAGGACAGTATGCCGATAAATCTGACTTTCAGAGGCTACAGTCAGCAATCACCTGTCTGACACTCAGAAATCTTCATATTTGTAGGAAACGTTCCACTCAGTTCCCACCTAATCTTAGATCTAGGTAATTGCAAGCAAAACTAGAACTCCTACATCCTACACGTTTTATTGCCCCTTCTTGCCCACAAAACATGGCAAGACAAAACCCACTCTAGACCCTGGTACCAAGAGGTTTGGGGGATTCAAGGGGCACGTCAGCATGGATGGCTGCAGATCAACCTCATGGATCCAACTGCCTTCCTTGCTGGCCAGATGAACCAAGAAGGTTGGACGCCGCACACCCACATGTCTGAGCTAATATGTGGTTTTCTGGTAATATTTGTGACCTGGGCTGTGCCCAGCTCATGGTTAGAGGATTTTCCTCGATCTCTAGTAGACTTGTGCTGCTAACACAGCATCTCAGGTCTATTCTCATTAAAGCCACTGATTTTTCTCAGTAATTCAAAGCTAAGCTTAGAAACCGTAGCCATGCCTGGTGTTTGGACACTTTTCCCGAGAAGGAAGAGGTTTTGATGAGCTTGGAGGGAGCAGGTTTAATGTTCTGGCTTTTGCTCAGGAAGGTTCATTAAGGGCATTCGCTGTGATTTTAGCCATGAAGCACTGCGAAGGCTTTGCTGAGCGTGTGTGCATTGCAAAACCATACCATTTCAAAGGCTTCCTGCTG